AGGAAAAGGAAAAGGAAAAGGAAAAGGAAAAGGAAAAGGAAAAGGAAAAGGAAAAGGAAAAGGAAAAGGAAAAGGAAAAGGAAAAGGAAAAGGAAGAGGAAGAGGGAAAGGAAAAGGCTCTGGGACCCAGCCCACCCTTTCCCCTCTCCATGCCTTCCTTTCCCACGGGAGGAAATTCCCTGGGAAATGGGAATTCCTCCCGAAGGGCGGGGCCAGCGGCACCAGTGCCAGCGGTGCCAGCGGTGCCAGCTGTGCCAGCAGTGCCAGCGGTGCCAGCGGTGCCAGCGGTGGCAGCGGTGGCAGCTGTCCCCGTCCCCGTCCCCAGCACGGCGTACGCGGCCGAGGCCACCGACTACGACGTGCGGGTGCTGCTGCGCTTCCCGCAGCGCGTCAAGAACCAGGGCACGGCCGACTTCCTGCCCAGCCAGCCCCGCCACCGCTGGCAGTGGCACAGCTGCCACCAGTGAGTGTCCCCAGCTGTCCCCAACCTCACCCAGCCCCCGGTGGCAGCTCCAAGTGGCACTTCAGCGCTTGGTGGCTTCGCTTTAGGATCTTGGTGTCACCTTCTTTGGGTTTTTTTGGTCCCCAAAGCCGCTGTGATGGTGGCAGTGGCACCGCTGCCACCTGTGAGTGTCCCCAGGTGTCCCCAGCCCTGGGTGGCAGCTCCGGGGCTTTGGTGGCAGTTTGGTGACGTTTCCCCGTTTGGTGGCTTCACTTTGGGTTCTTTATAAAGGGGAATTGTGCTTCAGCTCTTTGTCCCCAAAGCCACCATCCGTGATGGTGGTGCCACCTATGAGTGTCCCCAGGTATCCCCAACCTCAATCCAACCCTTGGTGGCAGCTCCAGGGCTTTGGTGGCAGTTTGGTGACATTTCCCCATTTGATGGCTTCGTTTTGGGGTCTTCCTTCAGCTCTTTGTCCCCAAAGCCACCACGCTCCCAGAGTTAATGTCCCCAAAGCCACTGCGGTGGTGACAGTGGCACAGCTGCCACCATGGAGTGTCCCCAGCCTTGTCCCTTCCAGCTGGTGACAGTTCTGAGCCATTTCTGTGGAATTTCCCCTTTTTGTGTCATTTTTGGCGTTTTGCTGGGGTTGCTGTCACCTTCCTTGTCCCCAAAGCCACCGTGCCCTGCAGTCAATGTCCCCTCTGCCACGGTGACTGTCCCCAGGGCAGGAGCTGCCACCTGCTGTGCCCCAGCACTGATGTCCCCTCCCTGCCCACACAGCCCCTAAAGGCTGGGGACATCCCCACTGGGACACAGCCCGAGTGTCCCCTGAGTGTCCCTTGGATGTCCCCTGAGTGTCTCCTGAGTGTCCCTTGGGTGTCCCCTGAGTGTCCCCTGAGTGTCCCTTGGATGTCCCCTGAGTGTCTCCTGAGTGTCCCTTGGGTGTCCCCTGAGTCTCCCCTCAGTGTCCCTTGGATGTCCCTTGGGTGTCCCTTGGATGTTCCCTGAGTGTCCCCTTGAATGTCCCCTGAGTGTCTCCTGAGTGTCCCCATCACTGTCCTCTGATTGTCCCTTGGATGTCCCTTGGGTGTCCCCTGAGTGTCCCTTTGAATGTCCCCTGAGTGTCCCTTGGATGTCCCCTGAGTGTCCCTTGGGTGTCCCCTGGGTGTCCCCTGAGTGTCCCTTGGGTGTCCCCTGAGTGTCCCTTGAATGTCCCCTGAGTGTCCCTTGAATGTCCAAATTGTCCTCTGAATGTCCCCAAAGTGTCGCCATGGTGTCCCCACTGTCGCCAGCCTGTCCCCTTGGTGTCCCTACGGTGTGTCCTGAGTGTCCCCTGAATGTCCCCAGAAATTCCCCTGCTTGTCCCCTGGCTGTCCCCATGACTGTCCCCCTGTTATCACCTGAGTGTCCCCTCACTGTCCCCTTGAGTGTCCCCTGACTGTCCTCGGAATGTCCCAAAAGTGTCCCCAGAGTGTCCCTTGGTGTCCCCATGGTGTCCCCACTGTTCCAAACCTGTCCACATCGTGTCCACCTGCTGTCCCCTGGTGTCGCCCTGGTGTCCCCTGGTGTCCCCACGGTGTCCCCATGCTGTCCCCATGCTGTCCCCATGCTGTCCCCTGGTGTCCCCACGGTGTCCCCATGCTGTCCCTGGTGTCCCCACGGTGTCCCCATGCTGTCCCCCTGGTGTCCCCCTGGTGTCCCCTGGTGTCCCCACGGTGTCCCCATGCTGTCCCCTGGTGTCCCCATGCTGTCCCCTGGTGTCCCCACGGTGTCCCCCTGGTGTCCCCAGGCACTACCACAGCATGGCCGAGTTCAGCCACTACGACCTGCTGGATGTCACCTCGGGCCGCCGGGTGGCCGAGGGACACAAGGCCAGCTTCTGCCTGGAGGACACCACCTGCGACTTCGGCCACCTCAAGCGCTACGCCTGCACCGCCCACACCCAGGTGACACCAAAGGGATGATGGCCTTTGTCACTTCTGTCACTTTTTGTCCCCTTTTGTCTTTTTATTTTGTCCCTTTCTGTACCTTTCTATCTCTTTTTGTCCCTTTTTGTCACTTTTTGCCCATTTCTGTCCCTTTTTGTCTCTTTTGTCCCCATTGGTGGCACTGCACNTGGCTTCGTTTTGGGGTCTTCCTTCAGCTCTTTGTCCCCAAAGCCACCACGCTCCCAGAGTTAATGTCCCCAAAGCCACTGCGGTGGTGACAGTGGCACAGCTGCCACCATGGAGTGTCCCCAGCCTTGTCCCTTCCAGCTGGTGACAGTTCTGAGCCATTTCTGTGGAATTTCCCCTTTTTGTGTCATTTTTGGCGTTTTGCTGGGGTTGCTGTCACCTTCCTTGTCCCCAAAGCCACCGTGCCCTGCAGTCAATGTCCCCTCTGCCACGGTGACTGTCCCCAGGGCAGGAGCTGCCACCTGCTGTGCCCCAGCACTGATGTCCCCTCCCTGCCCACACAGCCCCTAAAGGCTGGGGACATCCCCACTGGGACACAGCCCGAGTGTCCCCTGAGTGTCCCTTGGATGTCCCCTGAGTGTCTCCTGAGTGTCCCTTGGGTGTCCCCTGAGTGTCCCCTGAGTGTCCCTTGGATGTCCCCTGAGTGTCTCCTGAGTGTCCCTTGGGTGTCCCCTGAGTCTCCCCTCAGTGTCCCTTGGATGTCCCTTGGGTGTCCCTTGGATGTTCCCTGAGTGTCCCCTTGAATGTCCCCTGAGTGTCTCCTGAGTGTCCCCATCACTGTCCTCTGATTGTCCCTTGGATGTCCCTTGGGTGTCCCCTGAGCGTCCCTTGGATGTCCCCTGAATGTCCCCTGAGTGTCCCTTGATTGTCCCAATTGTCCTCTGAATGTCCCCAAAGTGTCGCCATGGTGTCCCCACTGTCCCCAGCCTGTCCCCTTGGTGTCCCTACGGTGTGTCCTGAGTGTCCCCTGAATGTCCCCAGAAATTCCCCTGCTTGTCCCCTGGCTGTCCCCATGACTGTCCCCCTGTTATCACCTGAGTGTCCCCTCACTGTCCCCTTGAGTGTCCCCTGACTGTCCTCGGAATGTCCCAAAAGTGTCCCCAGAGTGTCCCTTGGTGTCCCCATGGTGTCCCCACTGTTCCAAACCTGTCCACATCGTGTCCACCTGCTGTCCCCTGGTGTCGCCCTGGTGTCCCCTGGTGTCCCCACGGTGTCCCCATGCTGTCCCCATGCTGTCCCCATGCTGTCCCCTGGTGTCCCCACGGTGTCCCCATGCTGTCCCTGGTGTCCCCACGGTGTCCCCATGCTGTCCCCCTGGTGTCCCCCTGGTGTCCCCTGGTGTCCCCACGGTGTCCCCATGCTGTCCCCTGGTGTCCCCATGCTGTCCCCTGGTGTCCCCACGGTGTCCCCCTGGTGTCCCCAGGCACTACCACAGCATGGCCGAGTTCAGCCACTACGACCTGCTGGATGTCACCTCGGGCCGCCGGGTGGCCGAGGGACACAAGGCCAGCTTCTGCCTGGAGGACACCACCTGCGACTTCGGCCACCTCAAGCGCTACGCCTGCACCGCCCACACCCAGGTGACACCAAAGGGATGATGGCCTTTGTCACTTCTGTCACTTTTTGTCCCCTTTTGTCTTTTTATTTTGTCCCTTTCTGTACCTTTCTATCTCTTTTTGTCCCTTTTTGTCACTTTTTGCCCATTTCTGTCCCTTTTTGTCTCTTTTGTCCCCATTGGTGGCACTGCACCTGCACTGCCCACACCCAGGTGACACCTTGGGGGCAATGGCCTTTGTCACTTCTGTCACTTCTATCACTTTTTGTCCCTTTTGTCCCTTTCTTTTGTCTCTTTCTGTCCCTTTCTATCTCTTTTTGTCCCTTTTTGTCACTTTTTATCCATTTTTGTCCCTTTTTATCCCTTTTGTCCCCATTTATGGCACGGCACCTGCACTGCCCCCACCCAGGTGACACCTGGGGACAATGGCCTTTGTCACTTCTGCCATTTCTGTCACTTTTTGTCCCTTCCTCAGCTCTTTTTGCTCACTTTGTCCCATTTTTGTCCCTTTCCCCCCCATTTTCCCCCATTTCCCCCTATTTTTGAAATTTTCCCCCATTTTTGCCCGATTTCCCCGTTTCTCACCCCAATTCCAGGGGCTGTCCCCGGGCTGTTACGACACGTACAACGCCGACATCGACTGCCAGTGGATCGACATCACCGACGTCCCCCCGGGGAACTACATCCTCAAGGTGGGACACTGGGGACATTGGGGACATCGGGGACATCAAGGACATTGAGGACATCGGGGACACTGGGGACACTGGGGACATTGGGGGGATTGGGGGGATTGGGGGGATTGGGGACATCGAGGACATCGGGGACACTGGGGACATCGGGGGAATCGGGGACATTGGGGACATCGAGGACATCGAGGACATCAAGGACATTGGGGACATTGGGGGAATCGGGGACATTGGGGACATTGGGGACATTGGGGGGATTGGGGACACTGAAGACATCGGGGACATCGAGGACATTGGGGACATTGGGGACATCGGGGACATCGGGGACATTGGGGACATCAGGGACATTGGGGACATTGGGGACATTTGGGGACATCGGGGGCATTGGGGGGATTGGGGCCATTGGGGGCATCGGGGACATTGGGGACATTGGGGACATTTGGGGACATTGGGGACACCGGGGACATTGGGGACATTTGGGACATTGGAGACATTGGAGACACTGGGGGAATCGGGGACATTGGGGACACTGAAGACATCGGGGACATTGGGGACATTGGGGACACTGGGGACATTGGGGGGATTGGGGACACTGAAGACATCGGGGACATCGAGGACATTGGGGACATTGGGGACATTGGGGACATCGGGGACACTGAGGACATTTGGGACATTTGGGGACATTTAGGACATTTGGGGACTTTGAGGATATTGGGGACATTGGAAACATTTGGGGCAGGGGGGACATTGAGGACATTTGGGGATATTTAGGGACATTTGGGACATTGGGGACATTTGGGCACACCTGGGACATTGGGGGGACATTGGGGACATTTGGGGGATTGGGGACATCGGGGACACTGGGGACATTGGGGACACTGGGGGGATTTGGGATATTGGTGATATTGAGGACACTGAGAAAATTTGGGGACATTGGGGACACTGGGGACATTTGGGGACATGTGGGGACATTGGGGACTTTTGGGACAATGGGGGATTGAAGACATTTGGAGACATTTGGAACATTGGGGACATTTGGGGGAATGGGGACATCGGGCACACTGGGGACATTGGGGACATTTGGGGACATCAGGGACATTGGGGACATTGGGGGACACTGAGGACATTTGGGACATTTGGGGACATTTAGGACATTTGGGGACTTTGAGGATATTGGGGACATTGGAAACATTTGGAGCAGAGGGGACATTGAGGACATTTGGGGATATTTAGGGACATTTGGGGAATTGGGGACATTTGGGCACACTGAGGACCTTTGGGGACATTTGGGGACACTGGGAACATTGGGGACATTAGGGACATTTGGGACAATGGGGGATTGAAGACATTTGGGGACATTTGGGATATTGGGGGGACATTGGTGACATTTGGGGGATTTGGGACATTTAGGGGGGATTGGGGACATTTGGGGGGATTGGGGACATTT